CCCCCCCACGGGCGCGCCCTCGAGCGAGAGAATCGAGGCCAGCGCGCGCTGGAGGGCGGCGCGGCAGGCCTGCCAGAGCCGCACCCGGCGCTGGATTTTGACGGCGCCGTCGTGGTGTTTTTTGGCGTCCAGGCGGGCCTGGCGGCGGCTGTGGGCCTCCGCGAGGACCTGCTCCCGCGTCGGGCGGTGGTCGCTCGCGAGGCGCATTTTGTTCTCCCGGCTCCGGCCATCGAAAAAGAAGGAATTCATCCCCGCAAGGGATCGGAGAAGAACGCCAAGGTGGAAAAATAAATGCGATGCGGCGCGGGGTTGGGTGGTTGGGGCCGGAACAAGAACCGAGCGGGGTGCAAAAAAAATGGCAATATGGAGGGTGAAACTAATGAATAGAGCAACGGAAAAATGACACGTCGGACCGGTTGGGGGTTCGGATCAGGAAGAAGGAAAAAGTCTACAATGGGTAGAAAGACAATAAGGATAACCCGTACGAGAGTATCAATGTCTGGCCGCCAGGACCTATTGATTCGTGGGCTTTTATCGTGCTAATTAAATACTTTTGCTAACCATATATCTCGAAAGGGAAAAATAGAAGGCAATACAGTGAATATGCTTCGTCAAAACATAGCAAAGCCTGTAGCAATAAAAGGCAATAATAATAATAATAAAGGGTTCATTTTATGAACTATGCCTTGGTTTCTTCCTCGAAACGGGAAAAAGGTCAACGAAATGGTCTGAAGTGCAATAACACTATGCAAATAAAGAAAGCAACATATGAAAAATCGCTTCCATTAAAAATAAAGTGAATGCATAAAAGAATAGAGATAAGCAAAACTCAACACTTCTGATCAAAACGGTTCCTTCCGCTTGCGAAATGATTGATCGGTGCGGCAGATCTGGCAAGCACCTCCGCACAGAGAACAAAGAACCGCAAAATTCCCATAAAAGGCGATCCCATCCAGACAGGGGCCTTGCCGATTTTCCGCACAAAACTAGCCAATGCCGGGTTATTATGTGGTCATGTTGACGATAGCGCGTAATGTAGAAGTTTCGTCAGTCAAGCCACCATCGAGTGCGCAGAATGGCGGGATTACATAAAAGGAAACGGTGCATGACGACAGAAATATAGGCTGCAAGGCTGTATCGACAGTCTTGTCATTACTGAATGAACACAATGTAATAAGGGAATGAAAAAAATCTTGGTAGAGAGGAAGAAGTATGGATGTCACGCTGCTTCACACTGCCTCGGTTGCCCAATTGCTTTTCGTTGGAAAAGCAAGTTCTAATCAGGATTAACTAATTGGTAAAACAACCGCTAACTTGATAAAAAAAAATTCTTAGAAAATTTTAGCACGAGTCGTCTCTGTTTTCACCCGATTACATTTTTACTTTAGACTTGTAAGGTAAGTACTGCAAAAAAAATCTAAAGAGTTAACAAAGGTATAAATCACTCCCTAAGCATTAAAAATATATAAAAATATAAATATATTCAGGTAGCTATACGCATAGATTTACCCATTGATATAATTAAAACGTATTAAAATACCTGAAGTAATAAATATTATGGAGTTCGACTGTAATAAATAATTCAAAAAAATTTTAGAGTACGCACTCATAAAATTAATAGTTAAATGCATATATAATGAGAGAGAAAGAAAAATATAGATAAAAATTCTTAACTATTAATCTAATTTCATATCACAACAAAATAATGGTCTCAGAACGTCAGGTCAGGCTTCTCAGGGAAGGTGCATCCACTGTGCTGAATCACCACCCCCGCGGCGTAATTCCCAACTTCACAGCAGCGCTCAATCTCAAATCCCGAGGCGTATGCCGCCAGGAAACCTCCAACAAAACTATCCCCCGCGGCGTTGGTATCGACAATCTTCTGGGAGTCAATCCGCTTTACCGGGACGGATCCCGTTCGGCCCGATTTCATGGCAAATACGGTGAACTTATCGCCCTGGGTGAAGACGGTGAGGCGATCACGATGGTCGTCGTAGGGAAGCTCCACTGCCGCCCGGCGCGCGATCTCCGCGACGTCCTCGGTGTCCCAGCCGTGGAGTTTGGCGAGCGATCGGGCCTCATCCTCATTCCCAAAAAGGACATCCACATAGGGCAGAACCTTTCGCAGCTGATCCGTAAAGCATTGCACGATAAAGAGGGCGGAAAGATTCATCATGAAAACACCATTGACCTCGCGAGAGGCACGGGCGACCTTTAGAACGTAGTTCACATCAATCGTGAGGGTAAAACCGGTCAGGTAGAAGAGTTGGTTTTTTTTCAGGGCCTCGGCGACCGCGGGGCCCTCGATGTGGGCCGGGGAAAGATGACTCGCCGCGCCGAGATTGGCCACGAGGGAGCGCTCCTTGCCGACGATGCAGGCCGCGCAGGTCCCGGTTGGGGCCTCGGTGGTGTACTCGAGGATCATCGTCAACCCCTCCCCCTCGGCTGAGTCCTTCAGAATCCCCCCGTAGCGATCCTTCGCGATGCAGCCGACGTAGGAGACGAAAGTCCCCTTCGGGGCCTGCGCAATCCACTGCGCGACGCGGGCCGTGTTCAGGCCAGAGCCGCCCGGGACGTAAACGACCTTGTCCTTTTTCTCGATTTCGTCGTAGATCCCGAGATGCTCATCTGACATCAACGACGAGGTGTTCTCCACGATCTTGTACCTCTGCAGGAACTCACGATCGACGTTAGCGCAGATGTCCAGCAGTGGGTTGCACTGCACGTAAAGCCGCTGTGTGGGTTTCATGTAGTTAATCAAAGGTAAGAAGACTGGATAAATTGGAGTAAAAAAAAAGCTTCTTGGTGTCGTAATGGATTCAAATAGAGCTGGAGAGAGGGAAAAAAAAAAAGAAATTAATAGATTGCTTCAAATATAATATGATGGGGATGGGCATCATTCGAATAAAAAAAATAAAAAGATATGTGTGGCTTTCCATGGTATCACTTTTAATATCAGTAGAAAACATCATGTATTTTAGTTTGACAATAATCAATAATTGTACCACTAAATATTCGGGTGCCATAGTAGCACCATACATGAAAATCATACGCTAAATGTCACAAAGTAGTAGTGCTTTCAATGGAATAATATTAAAAATAAATGTTTCAAATAAATAAATAGGGTATGTAATTCATTTTGAAACTAAATTGTATAAATAGATCGTGAAAGTCTCAAATCAACTTGTTAAATTCATTATTTGCGTCTATTCGATAGGATTCCATCTTGGGCTTAAATCAACCTATAGAGTTTCCCCGCCCTACGTGTGGATGCCTCCTTCGTTTTTGAGGGAAATTCACCCACTAGAGACGAGACTTGAACTCCTCCAAAGTTCGACGCAAACCCTCGTCGAGCTTCACCTTCGGCTCCCATCCGAGCACCCGCTTGGCCTTGCTGTTGTCCGGCCGCCGCTGCTTGGGATCATCCGAGACCCCGGGAAGGTAGGTAAGTTTCGACTTCGAACCCGGTAGAAGCCCGACGATCTTTTCGCCCATCTCCTTTACCGTGTACTCCTCGGTATTCCCCAAGTTCACCGGGCCAATTTCGCTCGGATGGTGCACCAACCGCCAAAACCCTTCGATTAAATCGTCGATGTACTGAAACGAACGTGTGTAGGCCCCGGTGCCGTAAATCGTGATGTCGTCCCCCCGAAGGGCCTGAATCATAAAATTGGAAACAATCCGGCCATCGTCAAAGCACATGCGGGGTCCATAGGTGTTGAAAATCCGCGCGACCCGAATCTTGGCGCCATAGCGGCGATGAAAATCAAAACAAAGGGACTCCGCGCATCGCTTTCCCTCATCATAGCAGCTGCGAATTCCGGTAAAGTTCACATTCCCCCAATATTCCTCGGGCTGAGGGTGCAGCGTCGGATCGCCGTAAACCTCCGAGGTCGAGGCGATCAATATCGGGCAATCCATCTGGACCGCGAGCGTTAAAAGGTGGTAGGTCCCATTCACGCAGGTGAGGGTGGTGCTGATGGGGTCATGTTGGTAGTGAACCGGGGAGGCCGGGCAGGCGAGGTGGAAAATTAGCGAAAACGCCTTCCCGGGCGGACGTAGCGTGAGGTCAACCGGTAAAGGGTTCTTGATATCGTGATGGATAAAGTGAAAATGGGGGTTGGATGTGTGCGGCCGGAAGTTGGCCTCGCACCCACTGCATAGGTTGTCCAGGATGGTCACATCGTAGCCTTCCGCCAGGCAGCGATCCACAAGATGGCTCCCAATAAAACCGGCCCCGCCGGTTATCAAGACATACTTTGGAAGCTCCGTCATCGAGTGTAGGGGCACCAATAAAAATAGAAGCTTTGTCTGAAATATAACACTCGATAATAATTTATAAGAAAAAAAGCTAATAATATTAAATGAATCGGTGTAAAACTAAATTCAATACTAAACTCGCTTGCGGCTTTCTGAATTGGTGAAAAAGGGGGGGGAGGAGAAGGAACTCAGTATGGGGATAGATTGAGAAAAAAACATGAAAAGGTTACTCATCAATGCTTTCAGAATTCGATCATAACAGAAAGAGAAGAAAAGAACGCGTTAACAAGGCTTTCGGCGCTATCATTTTCATTCAATGGCTTAGAACCATTCGTTAAGCTGTGAAATAGGGAAAAAATAAGATTGAATCGCCAAGTGATTCCCCCGCCTTTTCACACTTTCCCGGATGATTGGAGTTCCTCGATCAGACTCTCCAATGGGGCGGAGGATGCGGTGGTGTGGCGAGTGTGGAATTCCTTCACAACCGGCCGCACCGATAGACCGCTCAAATGACCCACCGAAGTCGTCCCCGCGCTCGCATCGGGAGGATCCGAAAGCGTTGAATTGGGAATATTCTGCGTGTTTAGTCGAACAAGGCTGTTAATCGATTCATGGTCCACGTCGTCCTCGAGATCCTCGATACTTTTGGAGGTAAAGCGCCGCAGGAGTTTAGGCCAGTGCCGAAACGCCCGAAGGTCGTTATAGCGAAGTGGTTCGCGGACGCCGTGGATGACCCCGGGCAGCGTTCGCACGCGCAAAACGACATCGGCCGGCTCGCTCACGCAAAACGAGGTCCACCCGAGCCCGCAAATATAAATATCCGCCTTGGGGCGTCGACGGTGGCGATTATAGCACTCAAACAAGTAGTTTCGGCTCTCGGAGAGCCCAAGGGCGCGGCCGGAGCTATTCGTGAGCTGCTCCAACGACCCAGGCGGCTCCAACGCCTTCCCGAGCTGGGCCTCCCAAAACTCGTCCGCCTTGTCGGTATTCACGATGGCGTGGCGGGCCTTATGCGAGGTGTAGACCATAAAGAGCATCCCCCGCACTGGGCCCTTCATCACACTCACCGCCGCGAGTCCGGCCAAAAAAAGCGTATGCCCGGGCAAAATAATGAAGCATTGCGGATTGCGAAACTTCCGAATCAGCGTCCGCCGCATCTGCAGAAGCGTCAGCGGGGAGCGTTGATGCCAGTGCGGTACTAAACCGGGCGTATCGTAGAAAAACGTCTGCCCCGACGGCGAGGAGGAGGCGCCCGCCCCCTCGCCCTTGTCGAGCGAAAGACGAACGGCGTTGATGGAGACGGTCGTCCCGGGCAAGGACGACACCGTCAGCAATTTAGACGCCTTCTTGTCGTGGCGGGACGGGATGTCCAACATCTCGGCCTGGTTCACATTCGGCGGGGTATACCAGCGCCAGAAAACGGCCTCCTTCCCGGTCCGGGAGTCCCGCGTGGCGTAGTAGACCTTCCGGCTTTGGGGGTGTGGGGGCTGAGGGACGTAGAGCTGGTGCGCGATGGCGTTGAGGAGAGACGACTTCCCGGAATTGGCGGCCCCGATAAAATAGGTCGGGAGGGGTTTGTGGGGGCGCCGGAGGTTCAAATTGGAGGCGTCCTCGATGGTAGTGATAAGTTTCTCGACATTCCAACCGCGCTTGGCCGAAATGGGAACCACATCGCGAACTAAGTGCTTGGGAAGCGCGAACTGGGTCGCGATGTCGAGCACCCAACGTCGGATGTAGCGCTCGGATACCAGGCAGGACGCGACGGCACGGTCCTTCCCGCTGTACTGAAAACTTCGATTCCGCACGCAATCCATCTTGTTCGCCGCGATGATCACGGGATTGTTCATGCTAATTAACCCAGGCAAATCGTAAATCATCGACCCGGGGAAGTCGGTGATGTCGACCACCAGCACCACCACACAACGCCGCTCCTTGAGCACGCGAAGCTTCTCGGTAAAATCGGGCGCGGACCAGACCTTTCGCCGCCCCTGCACTCCCAAATTCTCCAACGCATGGCAGCGATGGCAGACAAACGGCGTGGATCGATCGCGATAAAAGGCGTCGAACTCCTCCTGGGTCATGAAATCCAGCCACTCCTCCCCGACCCGGCGGCCATGCTTTTCCCAGTGCGCCTGCAGCTCCGCCATCCGGGCGGCGTATTCATGGCGCGCCTGGAGCTTCCGCTGCCGCTCGACCGCGTAGCGCTCGACATCGCCCTTCGAAACGTACCCGAATTCGGCCTCGTCCTCGCCCTGGAACAGCGCCCCGCAGCCCGAGCAGCAATCCCGGCCGAGCACCGGAATTGAAAAGCCGGAGGGCGTATCCATCACGATCGCGGTTTTATGCCGAAGAACGGGCTCCATCGCGTGGGGGAGGTCCTCGCCGAGGACGTGGGCCCCTTCCCAGTCCAGAAACCGCCGCTCCATCTTCGTCCCCGCCAACTCCAGCTGGTGCTCTAACGCAAAGGCGTCCTTCTCGTACGCGTCGAGAAGGACGCCGTATTTCATCCCCTGCGAGAGGTCCGCCATTTTTTTCCGCAGCATCGCGGGGGATGGGGCCGCGGGGGAATCCGCGAGCGGCCGGTCGAACGCCTCCGCGGCCTCGAGCTCCACCAGCTCCTCGGACCAGCCCATGATTTTGTGAAAAAGCGCGTTGAGATGCCGCGGCAGGACGATCGAGTCGATCGCCTCCTTCTTGGTTCGCCGGTGGGGTTGAAGGTGAATCGGGACCGGCCCGTCCGGGTAGGTCTGCACCCCCTCGACCTCGAGATCGACGGCCTGCCCAAAGCCAAGGCGGGCGATGGTGGAAGCCCCGTCCGCCGCCCCCGAGGCCGGAAGAAGGGCCCGCGCCCTGCCGGAATCCGCCCCGTACGGCAATACCGCGGCCGCGCCGCCCGACGACGTAGACGTCACCCCCCCCAATGCCGGGGAGGGGGCTGGGCCGTTTGGATTCAAAAGCGAAGACGCGGCCGGGCCTTCGCATCGCCCCCAGGCCGGCGAGGGGCCCTGGGCGCCAATCCGAAGACCCTCGGCGGCGGCCTCGGGGGAGAGGTGCGGGCTGCGCAGCCCCAGGGGAGGGGAGGTGGTGAGGTTGCCCAGGACGACTTGGCCCTCGTCGGTGGAGACGTCGGTGCGGGAGGCCACGTCGATTTGCCCCGCACTCGTGGCTTTGCGATCCCGCCACGGTTTGCTCGCGCGAGGGTTTTTGAGCTTCTTGAAATAATCCTGCTTGCTGTATCCCAATGGGGGGACTTTTTTTTTGAGACCCCAAAGACTTCGAAAGAACATGCTTTAAATAGTGCGGCGCTGGTGTTGTATGGCTCTTCTGTTTCACGGTACACCAAATGCTAAGTAATAATCAAAAAAAAAGGGGGGGGAGGCAATGTTATAAGCAATTGGATAATCCTGGGTATTTTAGAAGCGGAAAAAGGTGAGAACAAAACAGGAAGTAAAGAAGCCAGCTGTATATAGATGTATCGATGCACAGGTTATTATCTAATTCAACAAAAAAAAAACCCGCCCTCTAGTTGAAATCTCAACACTATTTTGAGTCGGCTGAATATGTGGGGAAGGTTAAAACACCGGAAAGGTTGTGAGAAGATTTCTAATAAACGCGAAGGCCATATTTTTTGTTTCTGTTGTCGTCTCCTCATCCCTTTTTTTGGGGGGGGGGAATGCTTTAACTTTTCTCTCCCTTTTTATTATCACATTTTTTATACAGAGGAAAATCTATCGCCTTTGTTGTTGTTGGCCACTTGCGACCTGGATCAAATGAACCGCTAGACGGTAGTCCTCAATCGCGCGATGAAGTTCGCCTTCTTCTTTCGACATGGCCTCTGATGTGCGCTGCTTTTCATTGGAGATGCGTTGATCCTCGGCGTCAGACTGTTTGATGGTTTCATCATTGATTGCTATGAGCTTGTCGGCGGGAATGCGCATAAAAGCTCGTCCAATACCACGATACACAGGGTGCCCCGTTTTGAGCTTAGATAGCTCGCCAATAGTAATTTCGGCACGACGTTTATCCCTTTTCAAAGATACCTGACGGGTGGCCATTGTCTTTACGGCATTCTGAAGAGACTCGACTCGTTGTTGGTGCTCCACAATAAGTTTCTCCTTCTCCATCAGATCCGCTTGCGCCGCTGCCGGGATATTATTGGACATACCTGAATATAAGAAAACAATAGTTATACCGAAAACCCCTTCTTAAACACAAAATGCTACAGATTCAAAAAGATATAAAACTAACACTAAAAATGTGTTTTAATAAACCAAAAGAAGTCCTCAGGATCAGACAAACGGTCCAAATGTCAGCGTTAGAAAGAGTGATCGGTTTACCCTATCACAACTCTTTTAAGTTACCATTTTTACAGAATCAGGAAGCTTTTGCAAACTTAGATCTTCCCCAAGACAGTAAAAGAGGAAGTGGAAACATAGCGGCACTTTAGCATTATGTGATTTTTATATTTTATTGCAACCCGTACATCATAACTGGGAACAGGTCTTGAGGCCATTCTTGTTGTAAGGACTCCATCACGACCCGCACACCAGCCTTCTTGAATAATTGTTTGTAGTGAAGGTCAGATCGAGTCAAACTGCTGTCCTCCCTATCGACAACAAAAGTAGTCCCATTAATGCAATTTTCCTTAAAGAAGATGTAACCTTGGGGGGTAAGCGCCTGTTTGGCGTTGCGAAAGAACTTGACGAAATCATCATCGGTAAGATATATTGAACACCACTGAATGACAATCAAATCGTATGTCTGTGGTGGCAGAGAAACCTTTTCCATAGACGATAGAATGAAATCTCCCATGGGCAAACCATCTAGTTCTTTCATGGCCTGAATGATCATATGCTCAACAGGCTCCAATAGATCGGTTATCTCGTAGATATTACAAAGGAGGTGCTTCGCGATGCGACCGATGCCGGCCCCACAGTCAATCGCACGCTTTGTACCGTGGTCCGGAAGCGCCGAAATAAAGTCCGCCGACTCCTTGATATCCATGTCGTGGATGCTGGAAATACCACCAAGCACCCCATCGATGGTTGCCGGGGTATTTTTCCAGTATTCCAATGACTTCCCATACCAGCCCTTTTTAGGGTCGTAAAGATCCCCCCGAAGTTCCCCCTTCCACAACGCCTCCGCAGAGACATAACAGCGCCCCTTGCTGTCCGTACCGGGGATGGGTTTAGTCCGGGTCTTCCGCGAGGCATTCGAGCCCTGACCCCGACGCATGTTGTATGACATTTTAGAACTGGTATTTCGCAGAGTATTATTTCGTGCGTGCTTCTTCAAGTAAGCAATAAAAATAGTATTAATCATATATACATAAATAAATAAATAAATATATGTATGAGTAAAAATAAACAAAAGAAAAATAACAATAGGAATAAATTTGGACCTTGTGCAGTGTAAAACGTCCACTTCAAACCACGTATTCAAAAATTCACCTTTGAAGGAAATAAGGAGCTATACCAGTTAATATGCACTCCTTTGATGTTATACAAAATGCAACCAAACAAATATATAGAATCATAGAAACCATAAAATTGTAGTAAGATTATTTTCTTTCTTCAAGGGATACATCATAAAAGAAAGAAAAATATGACCATAATGGCAAGTCTACAAAATTCTTAGAATTTAACAGCTTTCCTTATATTCTTTATAACGTCTTTTCCTGCAAATTCACGGAAGTTCAAAGGGTTGACCGTCCCACTGGTAAGGGTTCTGCCCAACAAGTCTGTCCCGTAATAAGATGCCACAATCATCACTTTCGCCGACTTCACAAGCTCAGAGAGATCGCTATAGCACCTCGCACAATTTCTACGGCCCAGATCCCCAATGCAAACTTGCGTTTTATCCCATAAACATTTCTCACCGTCCTTTGTATTCCCACACGTTGGAGCAAACCCCGTCTTGAGTGGCTGTTTAACCGAGAAAACTTCGGATAAAATCGGAAAGCCTTTCGCATTGGTGTTGAGTCCTGACATAGTCGACTTCTTCCCCAGGCCCCCGTCGCCGCCCCACTCCTCGGAGAAGGGAAAGTAGGCTGGGGAAGAAGACACCCCCGGCGTCTCCTCGAAGGTCGTGGGTTGCGTTTTGGGATTTGTGGTGAGGATAGTTTGCGCGCCCGATTCGTAATTAAAGAGCCCGTGATGTAGGCCCACATCTAAGTTCAAAATTGTGGCCACCGCGACGGTGCCGGTCCCCCCACACACCGACGAATCCTTCTCCACCAGCACCACGGCGGCGTTGGAGTAGCCCCCATATTCGGGCCTCACGATGCTGTTGGTATTGCCAAACCCGTAAACGGAAAGGTATTTTTTCGTTAAACTCGCCGAGAACACGTACGGACCGCCCGTCATCGAAACCGAGGCCAAGGCGGCGGCGTCGCTGAGGGTGAACAACTGGAGCCGATCCACCTCCGGGGCAAAGCCGTACACCGCGGTTTGGATCGTATTCCCCCTATCTTCCTTGTAATTCTCCTCCGCCAAGTCGACGATGAACCGCAGATTGAGTCGTTCGAGGTATTGGCAGGCCGGCCCAGTGAGGGACCATGGGGAGCAGATCTCCTCACTCCCCTTCTTGCCAAAAACCCGAAAGTCGCACCACGCTAACACGCACAGGATGAGAAGGACTGTCGTACTAAACGTTCGGGCGTACATCGCATTGAGTTTGCTATTTGAATTTGTAAGAAATTCTATATATGAATTGAGGAAAGCGAAAAAAAGTCAATAAAAAGGAAAAGAGAGGGGAGTGAGGGTCAACTTGGATAAACTAATTCCACATCAGAAATGCTTCATCAGATTAGTTACGTTAGGGCCTCCTGAGTATTTGTGGTATTAATTTAGAATGCTGGACTTCGTTTAGATATGTCCAAAAGGACATGAATTCATCCATTGTAAAATGTCTTGTTGTGATGAAAAAGAAATACGAGTAGTTAGTTCAATCGAACAGAACTATGTGAATAGATTTCAAAAAAAAAAAATATTGTGTCACTACACATAAGCTTAATTATGAAGATGTCATATTATCACTCTTTCGTATGCATAAGATAAAGTAAAGGTGTAGATGACACGATTGAGATGTCTGTTAACATTGGACCTCGGTTTTCGAGTGAAAGGCATACTCTAAGGAAAGATACAATAGATAAATCAAAGCACTTATACCTTTATGGAAAAGAAAAATAGATTAAAAAAATATAAAAAGGGATCGATTAAGCCCTTTTTTTTGTGCTTTCTTATAATAAGAAGGCGCACCTCAAGAAAGTTTGGTGCTTAGGATAGGCCATGCAAACTTGTACAATATGCCTCAGTTGATTATTCAAAGGCAATCAGTATGCATTCTCAAGATGAGTATATCCCACCACTGAAAATAATAGTTGGTGTCATACTTGGAGAAATGAACATCGTAATTTCTAACGCAGCCTTTTTCCGCCACAGTTAAATTCAGTAGATGCTCTTGTCAAAGTCATTAGAGAGCACATTGGTTTTGAAGGGAAAAATCGCAACTAAAGCTAAAAAAGGAACTTAGTTTTACAGATAAAAAAATATATAGAACAAAATGAAATTGTAGAAAAAAAAACAAGGAATTATGAGCGTCATTCATTACCATTGAATATTCGATTTAAAAATAAAAAGCAAAAATAGTCACACACCCAAACAAGGTCCAATTTATTAAAAGTTAAAACCGTTACTACAACATCAGAATCTCAGAATTAAGATTCTTACAACTTCGCACTATTTTCGTACAAATAAGCATGCTAATGGTGAAGGAAAAAATGCATTAGGATAGAAAAAAACGCGCTTAACGTTTAACCAAAATTCTTTTCGCCTTCGGTAGCTTAAACAAGAAGGTGTCAATAAAAGAAATCAAAGAATGGCGAGTTATCCACATACCGACCATCGAAAATAGCGTCGCGAGCGCAATCCCACAGCGGTCCGCCTCCCATGAAACAACCGAATTCGACGGGCCGCGTGTCGTATTTTCTACGACAACTTTGAAGTGAAGGGGCTTGCTGCCGTCCAGAGGCAACACTAAAACCGAATCCGCCGTATTCAATCGAAAAGGAGAGTCAAAACACTCCACAAGGACCTGGACTTCCTTGACGGTGTCGGGTAACCCTGCAAAGCTGAAGGTGTTGGTGACATCGAGGTTGCCAGTTCGTACGACCACCCCTGAACGGGAATCCACCACCCGAATGGTAATATACGGCAGGATCGCCGAATCCGCCTCCACCCACCCCGCGATGGATCGCCGGCGTTCTCGCTGCGCGGAGACCGTGATGGATAGCAGCAAAAAGGCGCACACAACGCTGGACCAAAGCGACATGGCCAAAGCCCTTACTACGGGGGTTTAATATCCGATTCACACAATTTCTTCCTGAGAACTAAATCGCAACAAGAGAGAAGGAGGGAAAATAAGTACCAAAAGTGCACATGCCACAATAAATCCTACCACACGCGCGGCGTGCAGCAAAAGCCTAACGTTTTGCCGGCCTTATGCGGTTTCACCCTTTGCTATGATGACGTTGTTGATTTGTTCATCAACCCCACTAGTACTTTCCTTTCAAGTCTGCTTAATCGGGGCTTATAAGAAGAAAAAAAAATTGCTAAAGAGCAATATACCCATCTTATCCAAATATTCAACTTCCACAGGAACACATTCTTTTTTATTTTTTGTTTATTTTATTTTTTTGAGAATAAATGGCAGTGGTATTAAGAAATTATAAAAACCACGCAGTAAGAGATTGGATTAGAAAATATTGGTGGGATGCGGGAAAGCGTTAAACATAGTCCCATAACCCTGATATCATACCTATAGGAATCAAGAGCATCTGCGACGTAACAAGATGAGCCGCCATATCATACAAAGAATGAAAATAATCATTTTATAGAGTAGTTCCATAATATAGTAATTCTTTGTTAGAAGTAAACCGTGAACACTTATATATAGGCCAAATTTGCCTATAAAACCACATTGAAACATGACAAGATGTTTTCTCATTATCTGTTTTTATTAAATCCGGCCCAGACGCAATAAGGGTCATTTATTAAATAATAGTACCTGTTCTATACCAATCCCATACATATATATAAATATATATATATATATATGCAATTTTATCTCCATTGAGATGTGCTAACCTTATCCAGTTTACCATAATGGTAACCTATTCTAGTTTGTAATTTGCTTGTTCGGAAAATGGTTTACTTCATCATCACACAAATGTTGCCTAATAGATATAAATAGACATATTTATTTAGAAGTACAATAGTTGATCAGTAAGAAATAAACAAGGAAAATATGTTAAACTTACGTATCCCTGACGTATTGAATGGCCTTGTGGTTATAATAATACTATATAAAAAAGAAGTAAAGAGGAAGTCTTGAATTTTGTAAATAATGCCTGTGAAAATAAACGCACGTCGTTTTTCGGGAGTCAATAAGGTTTCCATTACAGCCAATTTTGTCATTCGGGTCTTCCATTTTTGTACAGAAAAACTTATCTTGGGTGCTAATATTCTGAATCGATCCTTTACTTTAGGAAAAACGAACTTCCTTTTGAAAAGCTGAAGCCGTGTCTAGAACATTGAACAGCAGTTGGGACAAAGTAATAATAATAAGAATGCAAAGCAAAAAATAACATGTGGTGCTCGTTGCGAATAATATTATAGGACATCATACTACACCTCCCTTAGAACTCTACAACTACTGGATGTGTTAATGCCCTATATACTGTCCTAATCGCTTTCACTTCTTAATTTTTGTGATGCTGTGCGATAAAGGAGATTTTTCTACTTTGGATTTTCGTTTCAACCCAACCTGCGAGGTGTTCGTGATATCAACATTAGGATTACTACCTCGTTTAATGAGTAATGTCGGCGTGTGGTGACTTCTTGGGGAAGTAGAGCTCTTTTCTTTAGCGTGTAATGGAGTCCGCGCAGGCGGCATCGTTGTCAATGGACCCAATGATCGCGATGATGAGCCATTATTAATAGGAGAATGCGCCTTGAGCGTCGAAAACTTCACGTCGCTTGATCGCATAGAACCAGGACTGGATAAGGTTGTTATCGGGGAGGCATTTCGAGAGGCAACAAATGGAGTTTGGTCATTCGCGCCAAATATGTTTCTGGATTCACATTCATAATTTAATTGGCGCCCGAAATTGTATGTAAAGCCATCCACATGATTCTGTGCACTAGTGTAGGCTGCGGTGTCGTCCTCCATGACAAGCGTCTGTGCCGTGAAAATCGAATCAAAGTTGTTTTCGGTATTCGGGTCAGGTATAAAAGGCGCTGGAATCTTTCGATTGTAAAGTAACTTGAAATCGATATTTTTGAAAAAGGAATGTCGCTTAAATTCCTCCAGGTCTTGCAGCCGCTTAGTCGGGTCACGATCTAATAGTCTAGTTAACAAATCCTCTGCCTCGGGGCTTATGGTGATGTTAAAGCGATTGAAACTAAGTTCTTGCGTGAGGATGTTCTCGTGCATGATATTTTCATTTTCGTTATAAAACGGAGGAAGGCCGTAGAGCATCTCGTACAGCATAATACCCAATGACCACCAATCCACCGCATGCCCGTGCTCTTCACCTAACAAAATCTCGGGTGCTTGATATTCCGCAGTCCCGCAGTAGGTGTTTGTGGTCGCGTTGGCGCTAATGTTTGCCTTGGCTAGACCAAAATCCGTCAGGCAGCAATGACCATCTTTGTCCAGGACAACATTCTCTGGCTTTAAATCACGGTAGATAATATTGTTGCTGTGCAAGTATCCTATTGCGAGGCCGATCTCTGCGGCATAGAATTTGGCATGTTCCTCATCAAATGTTCCGCAATTACAGAGGTGGTAAAAAAGCTCACCCCCACCTAGCAAGTCCATCACAATATAAAGGTAGTTATCGGTCTGGAACGCGTACCGTAGCTTGACGACAAACGGGTGATCCATCTGCTCCATGATAAATCGCTCAAGCGAGACGTTTTTGAAGTCGATTAATTCCTTGTTCATGATTTTCATGGCGTATTCCTCCCCGGTGTCGATTCGCCGAACACGACAAACTGAGCCATAAGCACCCTTACCGAGTATGGTTATGCGCTCAAAATGATCCAACGTCACGTGTTCGCTTGGATCAAGTGAAAATATGGTCATGCTCCTCTCCAAGCTCCTAAAACTTTGAGTGATGGGACGCTCCACCTCTAAGTGTATGGTGTGCTCGGTTAGGATGTGCTGCATGCTATCCAACCACTCCTTTTTCTCTCGCTCAGCAATCGCGGTAAAGAAAACCGGAACGTGAATGTATGGGCCGCGTACTGACCATGCTAGCTTTTTACCAGGGACTTCGGCAATCACCGAATCTTGTATATCAAAACAGGAGATTGGTTTTTGAGTAGATTTGTGGCTCTTTTCGGCCCAGTAATACAACGTCCATCCATACAATTCCATGTAGTATGTAGGGCCTGTGTTCTGAAAGGGCTCAGTTGAAACCTGCAGGTAGCCTGCATAGTCACAGGAGGGGGATGCCATCTTTTGATTTGCTTCCTCAGCTCTCTTTTCCCTTCACTCTAATGTGAGATTCTGCTCGGGAAACAAATCAACGGCCTATAAAAAATATATATAAAAAAATGACGCAATGATCCACGTGAAATAAAATATTTAAGAAAAAAAACTACACAAACCTTGTGATAAGTGTATATCACTTAATTTTTGATGATTAAAAACGTTTCGGACTTTTCTCTATCAAAAACGCACTCTAAAAGGGTAAACTGATCTGAAGCTTTCAACACATGTCGAAGTCTATCCAATTGAAGGAGACCTCTCGCGCGAAAACAAACATTTTTGTATAAATTATAAGCATTGACTTTCCTAATGTAATAGGATATTGCATTCTCTAGAAAGTCATTCAGTGTCGATATTCACAACTTAAAATGGCATCCTTCATTGATGTTATCAATATTCACAAATATGTATGTGCATATACATATTCATTTACTTAATTACACATCAAAGATGTGTATTTATAACTATTTTATCTCCCTTCAGAAAATACCACAGTGCACTGATGGGTGTAAGTAGTATGCAGAAGAGATTCGCACACTGTTGTGTGAATACACATATGAAGAAATATCAATTAGTCCAGCTTGGCAAGAAGCACTGCCATATTTTGAGTCTTTGGATTATCAATGATGGATTTTTTGACATTCTCTATAAAGTTGGGCGAAATATCCCGGAAAAATTCAGATCCTTCTCTTTTAATACGAGCTTCAATAGCTGCCAACAGTGCTTCGTTATTTTTAGTGTTCTGCAACTTATTATCTGGAAAGAGTGCAATAGTCCTCACCACCGCTAAAGCTTGTTTGGGAAATATCTCTCCAACATGCGCAAGCAGCTCCTGGGGAAGCGTCGTGGTAAGACTATAAGGTGCAGTGGCGCCGTTTACAGCAAATACGTTTTCCAAACAAAGACGCAGAGATATCAATTCAGAAAAATGTCTCTTAAAAAAAATATCCGGCGCGAACATGCCTGAATCGTCCGCATCGCTGCTTGGTGAATCCTGTTCGTTTTGATCAGGACGAAGAGGTCGCTTTCCTATAGCGTAATCACTGAATACATGAAATATAGCAGTGGAAGGCAACTTTTGCAATATAGCCTCTTTGACAAAATTACAAATAATTCTGAAGCGTGGTTGATAATATAAGAAACGTTCCATACTAACATTCAATATCTGTTCTTGGAGAGCTGTTGGTAACTCGACATCACATAATTTGGAATTCCTCCAAATGATGGTGATGGATTTAATGTTAGCGAATTGAACGACACGCTCAAGACGTGCCAACAAAGCCTTCTTAAGCTCCTTGCACGCGTGAATAAGCTCCTCCTCTGGTTTTTCGATATTTTTATGAATTCTCGCCAGCGCGCGAAAAATATCCCCAATCTGTTCATCAGTGTGAAAGCCGGAGGTGGTAGTCACTCGACGAAGCAGCTGTACAATGCGATCTTGCTCGATCATCAGGAAAGTTGAAGCCAATAATAACGTAATCGCCTCTCTGGAATGAATCCGATCGACATCAGTCAATACTTTATTGATAATGCGCTCCGTCATAGCATGCCACCGTGGCTCGTCCGTTGTCTTCATGGGATGCCACGATAACGTGGTCACTAGTGTGGAGAGCTCTGAAATATGCATCGTATCAATGCACGGCTCGAGAAGTATCAATAAATCGTTCTGAAACTCGGCTTGATCGTTGATACGGAGTCGCTGGAAGGCTTGAAGGACCATAACAATTTCCACCGGGGTCATATTATTTAGATGAGACTTTATGACAGGAATGATATCCTCGCAAAGGATCACCTTCGCGTCCTGAATCTCAAGAACGCCAATGGCGTTTGTGAATAGCGCGAGATTCTGTGAAGAAAGACCACCAAGGTTTTGCCGCATCCACTGCACCGCCTGCTCAATATTATCCTCAACATTGCAGTTAAACATTGTGGCGATGTTCAAAAATGTGGTCATCGATTTCTCATCCTGAGTAGAGAGATCCACCGAAGTCGATCGGACCAGGCGGCGAGCTTCTTGAAAAAAACCGTTGCGCTCTTTGAGCGACTTCGACTGCTTGTACTTTCGCTTCAGATCGACCAGCATCGGTGCGTTCTGCGAGAGGTTAGAGCGGCGTTGGTAGCCTCGAGAGCCCGCGCGAGGTGAGAAATCGGGCCCGCCTGGACTGTCAAATCGTCGTCGGGAAGGAAATCCCCCCGGGGATCCGCGGCCGCGCTCGGCCTCGCCCGACCGCGGCGCTGAATTTCCCCCCCCTCGCCAGCCCCCCCTCGCCGGCTGGCCTCGCCATTGGGATGAGTCTGCCATAGTCCCAAAGGCCATCACACAGGCGGCCACGCGCCCAAGAGGCAATGACAACCCCAGGACCCCACAAACACGCCGCATATTCGCAAGAACTTTCCACCAAACGAGACCAATGATGCTTAGGAATAACCAATATGCATAAATATTGATAGATATATCGATCTATATATAGAGATGTATGTATTTTTATAAATATATAGATATATAGAAAGAGAAATGGATATGTCCTTGAAACCCCCTCACAACACAAAGCGCGTATTGGTAACACAAATCGTAATAAGAACGTTGATGAGTACACAAGTATCTAAATTAGCTTAATCAGGTTGTATAAAATACAGTAATTATATTACAAAAGGGAAACCGCATGTAATGAATTAGATATATATACAACAAATGAAATATACATATTGGTATAGCATCTGAATTTACTCATATATCTAGCTGTGAGCAAAATCTGTGCACAATTAACAAATATGCTGGTTATAAGTTCTTGGGCATCAGTTGATGATTTGAGTAATATAAAAAATGTTATCCAAAAAGTCGGACTTGCGAATGTAAATCAGCTATACAAACAATGATTATGCCTTCATTATAAAAGTAGTGAAGTTTATTATACTATAACGCTTCTGAGTTACTCATCTTTGGTACCTTTTTACTACCTTGAATGAGAAGCACTATCTGGAATAAGCGACTGAAGGTATTTTTTGTGAAAAGAAAGGCGTTCGGCATCCGATGTGGGCTTCTCACACAATAGTGCGAGGACCCACGCATCCAGAAACTCACTTACATTCATATCACGCATGTATTTATTGTCCTCTAACTTCTTAGGCTTGAGCTCGAGATCACAAGAACCCTCCTTTCCATCAATAATGTCGTTGACAAGACTAAGCGCATACAGCGGAAGATTATCAGGATGAGTCTGTATAATGTTCCGTGCGATCATTTCGAAAAAATCTACAGTTGACCCTTGACGAAGGTAAATTTTCGCATCACTAATAGCGTGCTCATCTCTTGTCCACTCAGGTGCATTCATATTTCTCTTTGTACTTATCAGTGATTTTGATGAACCTTGCTTGTCTGGAAAAACAGTGGAGATATTTACTATCTATTAATCAAACACAAAAAAAGGTCCAAAAAATATGCTAGGTTTTATGTTAGGCAAACATTTTTGTAAACGCAGAACGAATTTAAAAAAGAAGAAGGTTCAAACATAGTTTACAAATAGAATCTGATCATTTCTATGGAAATATATGAAAGCGAATTATATATATATATATATATAAGTCCCTTTATCTTGCAATTGATTATAGTTATTATTTCACTTTTTATATGCAATAATAAATGAAGGTGTATATTATAGTGTTCATGATTATTCAAAGTTTTATAGTCTGAAGAGAAATATCGAAATACCTCTCTATCACATCTTATTCACTCACTAAATTATACTATCCCAAAAATAAAAATGCTACGCTGATATAACACTCCTTATAATGAAACAAACATTTGTCGAAAGTATTCATTAAAAATAAGGTTTGCAAAATTACAATAAGAAGCAGGCAAATATCTCTAAATGGTGTTGATATATTATAAAATACATATTTTGAAAGATGTTAAAATCAGAAGCAATTCTTTTCCTGACATTAGAGAAGTAAATCTCACCTCCCCTTCGGATTCCCCAATGCAGCAAGTCATCACCTGTTTGAGAGCTTGTGCAGCCTTAAGCCTTAAGAAAAAAAAGTTGATAAATTCCCGCCGCGAGTCTTCGTTGTTTTATTACTTAGACTCATGCAATGCAGCGTTCCCACGCTCAATGATCCCCCTCCTCCTGTTTCTGGTGAAGTTGGATGGTTATCATAAATTGGAAAATGCCGGTGGGGCGACCGCACACCCGTTCGCGGTGTTGACGTCCGGTGCACTTACCCCAGCCTGGCCGCCACGCACATTTCGACGAAAACGACGTAGCTGCGGGTTGGGGTTCTCCACCGGCTCGTTAAAAGTGCTGGACGGGCCGTTAAAACTTCGGCCGTTTTCATATCCACGCCTGAACCGCCCTGCTTCCCCACGCCGTGGGGGCCTACCCCCACTAGTGCCTTTGAGATGGTTTTTAGAGGAGCCCTCGTCTGACGAAAAAGGACGCGGCTTCGACGTAGGACGTTCATTCGCGTTAGAAAAGGACGACCCTCCTTTTCCCACTGCCGCGAGAGGGCTAGGACAGGCCTTTTTCCGCCCCCCAGTTCGAGGCCCCGGGGTAAAAAAAGGAACCGCCAATGGGGAAATACTCGGTGGGGACATTCCGCTCGCCGTGGGGCTGGGACTGCCGCTTATCTTGCGAAATAGAATCTTGCAGAGGTGAATCGCCTCGTTCGAGACCCGAGGCGTCTCCACGTAGCGCACCACCACCTGCTGTAAAACCTCTTCAATCTTCGCGTCGATGATCATCTGCGCTACCTGATCGCTTTCCCAACACAAGTAGGTCAATGCCTTCAGGGCATGCATCACAAGCTTATCCGAGCCCACGTGCTCCCGCATGGAGTCGATGATAAGAGGGATCACCCCCGATTCAACCAGCAGCTGTCGGTTGCTTTCCGAGTTGAAAGAAAACTGCGAGATGGCCCGGCAAATGGACTTTTGCAGGAGCGCGTTGCCCGCGTGTTTTTTCATCATATGCAGGATATGCGGAACGGCGATCCCCGCCAAGGGCTCCTTGATGGTTGTATTCCACGCCAAGTTCCCCAGAAGCGAACACCCCAACTCCAGTATTCGCAGCCGATCAAAGGTATCGGTGGCGTAGATCACACAAGGGATGCCCCCGAACTCGAAAATTTGCTCCTGTGCGGTGATGTTGTCAAAGGCCAGGGCACTGAGCGCGGCGCAGCCATTCAGCTGGATCTTCGCGCTATGCTTGAAGGTCCGCATCAGATCAATCAGAAGCTGCACCCCGTTTAAATTGGTAATCGCACAGTTCAGCTTAAGATGCTCGTACGCAAGGTGGGCCAGGGCATTGCAGGCCTCCTGCTGAACCAGCTCTACCTGGGCGAAATTTTTCATCCCCGTAATCACCACCTCGGGGGCGTTGAGGTCAAACAGAATATCCTTATTCGCGGAGGATAACAAGGATAAGGTGACGATGGCGCGGCACCCTTCTTCTTGAATCTCAGCCGATCGCTCGCATCGCCGCATGGAGGCGATAATCTGCGTCAACACGGGTGCAAGATCATCGGTGGGAAAAGCAAAAATCCCCACCAACGCACGGCATGCATGTTCCTGGACCTCTTGGTTGTTGGGGTGATTCCGCATGGCATCCACAATGGTCTTATACCCTCCACATCCCCGTATTTTCGCGGCGTGATCTTTATTGGACCACGACAAATATGACAAAGCAATGCAGCCGTGCATCTGAACTCGATCAAAAGTTGAGTGCCGCTGCATACCTTTTACAATCAAGGGAATTACACCCTTATCACACATCTCATCACGATATTTCTCACAACTAAATGCAATTTGATCAATAGCGCGGCACGCGTTTTTGACGAGCCCATAGCTTGTGCAATGCTCCTTTAAAGATTTGATAATTAAGTCAATCCCACCAAGGCGCACAATCTCGGTCTTCAGATCTGGATTCCAACACATCGTACCGATCGCCAGGCAACCACTCTCCTGTAAGCTGGCCTTTCTCCCTTTCCGCATTGCGTCGATGACAAGTGAAACGCCTTCGTTATCAATAAGGATTTTCTGACCGGCCGGATTATCAAAGGCAAGGCCCGATATTGCCGAACAGGCGGTTGTGAGTAAATCCTCGTTACTGGGAAACTTACGCATGGCGTGAAGAGTGAGATCCATCCCACCCAACTCGGTAATCTCAGAAGTCATTTGATCCGAATCAAATGAAAGGTAAGATATCAAACTACAGGCACCTTCCAGAATGGAAGAGTTTGTCTCGTAAGTGCGCATAATTTCAACAATCAGAGGAATGCACCCTGTGGAGTAGATTTTGGGCTTCTTATCCTTACAACTGGACGCTACACTAGACAAAAAGCTAATCCATTCGAGCGCCAGCATCTCTGATCTGATGTCGATAAACAACGGCAAGACACTATCCAAATCGTTGTATTTAGAGGAGGGAATGCTGCTGAAAATACGTAAAACATGGTGGCAATGCATTTCCAAGTGCTTTAATCGAGTTAAAGACTCGGAAACGTACATCATGAGATCGGAGTTGGGGTCGATTGAATCAGAGGCCCCTGAACTCGTTATGTTCGCTACTATACATACTGCATGCGTTGTGGTTTCATCATCATCTAAATAATTACGCAGAATCGATTCCAGCACGGGGACTCCACCCGCATCAACGAATTTTCGACTAGCATAAGCAAAACAATGTGGAATTTCAGCGTGATAAGAAGTGTATTCCGCAAGTGTGTAAACTGCTATTTTGGAAACTTGCTTATCCTCCGCATGAATAAAAAGTGCATTTGTTAACTGAGTAATGCTGTCACTGATATCATACATGTTAAAGTGGGATAGTAAAGTACAAGCCGATAACACAAGTTGGGTGTTTTGTTGAAATTCCTTCAGTGCTCGAACAGCAATGCTTGGGACATCGAATTCTAAAAAAAGGGATATAGTTAGGTCATCAGTGCAATAGTAATGAATTAACGTACACACCCACTTGATGAATTCAGACCAAGTAGAGTGTTCAAGAGCTATCTGTGCAATTTCTTCTATAAGAGCTTCCACGTCGTCCGGTGATAGCTCGGTTGTGATGCATGTATTCACAATATGAATCATATTTTGTTCAGAAGTAGTTTCTGTTGAAGACCGAAGACGGCTCCGCAGAAGTTCAATACGATGCCTAGGATCAGGTGCCTGGGCGCATAAAATTGTATATTGTGATGTACTTATGTACTGATTCTTTAGCTCCATTATGGGTGATCCCGTGACAATCTTGAAAAATAACTTATCCATGTGTAATCCTATTTTTGGAAAAACATATATATGTTTAGATATGTACTAATTTACTTTTAAGATAATGAAGCAAAACTTTTAATCGATTATTTAACAATTAAAATGCAATTCAGATAAAATATATAAATAATTATATTGATATATGTATAAACTACCAGTTTTGATAAGAAAATAATGCCAAAAAAAAGAAAAACGAATAGATCCTGTAGTTTTTTCAATGAGAACCAACCAGATAACATAACAAAAGCAATTCATAGATAATCACTTAAGTACTTGAAAATGTATTTAATATCAGGCCCATTCTATTTCAAAACAAAGGTCGAGAAGTGAATAGAATTTAATGAATACTAACAGTCACGCCACCTGCATACACACAGATAAAAATTTTTACTAAGTAAACTGTGTTTAGTGTGCTTCATAATTTAATAATATTTTAACGCACGTTAATTAGAATAACATTTATAACTGAAAAAATATGTAAAATCAAATCAAATGAAAATATATTTTATAAGTAAAAATAAACTAATATTTAGGAGAATGAATTTTATTTGCCCTCAGCCCAAATTTGTCTGATCAACTCATGATTGTGCAATGTATTGTGAAGAGTTGGAAAAGGTTTCAATAAACTGATAAATTTATTTTATTTTTCTAAAAACATCTGAAAACAACTGTAAAGAGTAATTCAATAAACCCTTTGAAGCTAACAAAGCTGGTTATCTTGGTATGTTGACAGGGAGTTTTGGATCCCTCACACAAGTCAGAAAAGGAAATTAAATACCTGTACCCTTTTCCTTTTGTAAATTAAGTTATAAAGTGATGACTAAGACATACGGATCAGAGTTGCATAAACTTGCCTGTGGAATATGCTTTTTCTTTCATGGAAATTCTCTTCCGTAGTTTGCAGTTTACGGTTGTGCAAACCTGCAGCATACAAGATTACCGAAAGTCGTGCCATACAGGCAATATCATGATACGTACACAATCAAGAAACAACCTACCTAAAAAGGGAAAAAGTGCATAAGGCCCGGCAAGATTCCATCATAAAAATAAAATGGAGTTGCTTTTAAAAATAAATATTGGGTCATTTACAGATGAAAGTACACGTACCCTTGATTGCGCACCTAAACTTTACTCATGGAAATAAATGCATGAGCAAATATATATAGGAAATGGCATCTTAGTGAGCAATAAACAGTTGATGTTGAATGAAATAAATCACCCCCATAAAGCACATCAAAGAATGCGCTAAATGATAAAAAGATTACTGTGCTCATCAGTCATCTGAGCCCGTCTGGTCTGCATTCTGTACTATGAAGCCTAATAATTAGCAAATCTTGTAGTAAAACTAGGACTTGAAAGTCTGAAAGAAGAATATTTCAACTCAACGCCGTATTAAATCAGCATTATCAGCACAAGCGATATTCCTCATCCTGTAGGAGTGGAATTGATTAAAGAAAAAAATCAACGATTACTTAAATAACTTTGAAGAAAGTACATCCCATTTTTTTTTACAGTTACGAAAAGCTTCTCTCCTCAAGGGATCGTTATAGGAATAAAATTAAAATTTTCCTAACTTTCGAAATAAAAAGGGTAAAAAATGATTGCGAGTAATAATAGATATTGAAAATACTAATTCGTGTCTGAAAAGAAGAAAAAAATTATTGGTATGATTCATCATATTTTTTTATCCCTCAGCATTGGTGATGTGGTTGTGGTTTTCCTGTAACCCCCAAACAGACAATGGGTCACTTCAAACTAAGCACCGTGTTCATTTCAGCATGCTGATTCACAAGCAAGTCCTTCGCGACCTGGCTCGCCACGTCGGCAGAGCGAAGCAGGACGACAGCCGCCAGGCCGAAGAAAATGGCAGTTCCAGGCCCACGGCTTGTCAAGCAGTTCCCACACTTAACCACGCAATCCGAGGAAGGTTGAATATGCGAAGGAAACTTAGACTCCATGCCGGGGTAGCAGGTCGCCGTCTTCACGCCTTCCAGCGCGCCAAGGGAGAGAACAGGCGCCGCGCAGATCGCACCATAAAGTTTATGGTCATCGCGCATTTCACCGATTATTTTTTGCAAGGGTTCGCTCTTGCCGAAGTTCAAGGAGCCGTCTAACCCTCCAGGGAGCAGGATCGCGTCGAAGTTGTTGGGCGATAGATCCTTGAGAAGTGCATCGGCGACAAGCTTTAATCCACGCGCAAGGCTGACGTTCACGCTTTCCATCACAGAGGCAACGGTGACCTTCAGTCCACCGCGAACGAGAACATCTGTTATGCACGAAAGCTCAATGTCTTCACTGCCGTCAGCAACAGGAACAAGAACGTGTTTGGACATAATAAAAAATCTTAGCAAATTGTTAACAATAAAAATGTTCCTTTATGTATATAAATTAAAGAGTTTAAAACTTATGTAGAAAGAAAAGGGATAAAGAAAATGGAAAATTAAAACATTAATAATCAAAAATAAAACATGCTCCCCATACACTGGTTAATAAAAAAAAACATTTAATAGGCCCAAACTATACCTTTTGAAATATTTACGTTTGATGACGAGCTACTATAGAAATATTTCCTCCAACTGCAAACACACACACCATAAGAGAGGAAGGATCTGTGCTTGAATTAGGCACCAACTGGCCTAAAACGTGAACCATATCCCCATCAGCTAGGTTTTCATCAGCAAACGTACAAAAGGTTACACCAAAACAACGCACCAGAACACTACTGGAAACCATTTTCCCAAAAAAGTCAATCTCATAGCTGACGTGAAAATCGAAGGTCAAGTTATCCTTCCCGGATGACTTTTCCATATTCTCTGTGTAAGAAGCCGATTGTTTCTTGCAAACTACACCAACCAGGCTCACAACTGCAGCAGAACCGCTGCTGCGAAGACGAGGCAACACGCTAAGCTTTTCTGGTTTTGAGGGAATGAGCCTCTGTGGTGACCCCTCAACTGTTAACTCAGCTGATGTTAGGAAGGATTTAGCTGGAAAAGCAGGCACATAGTGTTCTAAATTGCTACGGTTTGCAATGATATCACTTTCATGTTTTAAAACCTCTATTTCCTCCTCAACATCCTCTATAGCCTGTTCAAGTTGGTGCTTTCTTGACTCTTCGGATCTGATTCTGGATGAATGTTTCTCATGAAAATTCAAATCAGCATCACTCGACTTTTTGCTTTCAGTGTCCAATATTTTTGGGGAATCATAAATATCGCATGACTCTAATTCTGAAAAAAATGTATCTAAAGTTTTGTCGCCACCTTCAGCTTTGCATCTATGTGCAAGAAAGAAGGTTAAGTTCAAATACTTTAGAAAATTAACATTCAGACGCCTCATATTTCACCTGTATTTAAAATAGAAGGGAAAAGAATTTCAGATTCATCATATGAATAAGATCATTCAAAAATACTGAATATCAACAAAAAAAATGTCTTTATTCTTGTCGAGGTTTCACTAAGTTAATCATCATTAATAATGATGATCAATAAAAAAGAAAGATTTGACGCAAACACCATAGCAATTTTACTTCGGAAGCAATCCAGACTTGATATAATCAAGGCGCTGCTTTTTTGTCAACATTTGCTCATCGATTAAATCCATTCGAGGCTTCGCCATTGTATTCATTTCTTTCCCAATGTTCCATCGAGAAGGTTTATCAAACTCAAAAATTGATGGAAAAGATTTCACTCTAACCTTAGCATCACTGTTTGCGTGTTGAAGTGTGTACACTTGTCTTTTTGATACGAAAAACTTTCCGGTCCAATCTCCTGTAATGTAATTTTCTTCCGGAAGAAAAAAACCCTGACTCTTGGCAGTCATATATGACCAAAAGTAAGGAGCCTTCAGGTTCATAGATTGAGTATTTTTAATGTGAGGTCTCCTGTGGAATGGATACTTTCTCCGACCGCGACGACCAAGATAATACCCAAATGTTGACTTTGCAATCTTCAACAGTCGTTTCTGAGCAAGTTCAGGAAATACCAATGACTTTAGGCATTGTTTACCTGAAATTATACTAGAAAAACGTCGCAACATTGGACCCCATACTAACTAAAAATATTAAACACAGTGAGACAGTGATGAAAACAAATAAAAATATATAGGTAGAATGTATAACTCTGATTTGAAATGCAGGTTTATCCTGAACTCTGATAAATAATCATGTGATAGCTTAAAAAACGTTTAGAATCAGATAATCATTTGTTTTCGGAGAAAATACTTATTCGAAGTTCGATAACTGTATATTCATGTTTTAAGTTCATCTTAATTTTCTGGAGCTTCGGATACACCAACTTCCGAAGCTCTGAGAAGAGTGTCGCACATTTGATAGCCGTTTTTGACTATTTTGGTGATAGTGTTGGGAGGAAATTCAGGAGATGAAGGTGTAGTAAATAGCTGGTTATGATGGTGAGAAGAGAATTTATCACCAATTTTGGTTTCAAATCGCTCGACACCCTGCCTTTCGAACACTTGAAGCACAACCTTATGCGAAAGTTCTAGACCATTTAGTATAGACTGGATGGATCGTGGGATATCATTATTTTCCTTTCGATAACTTTCGCATAAGGAATTAACCTTTTCCAAATTGTCCGCTGTCTCCAACATGTCTTTTGCAAATTCAGTCACTGCAAATTGTTTGGCAGACTGTATGCTTTTTAAAGATTCCTTCCGAAAGTTATCAGCTTCAGCGGCAGAATACAATATATTCTTGTTTAATTCATCAGTATGATTCTTGGCTTGGATAAGTTCGGCCTTTAATTTTTTATAGTTCGCTAGCATATCAGAATCATTTGGTAACCCTTCATTTTGGGGTAATTTCGAATTTTCATCAATTTTATTATCCATGGAATCAGATGAATGCCTGAGAACAAAAACTAATCTGTTAATCACAGTTTGTGGCAAAGCGGTATAAAAAATACGGCGCATCGTTAAAATTTCAAAATGTACTAACTTTAAAAATACCGCAATAATTAATATTGTATTGTAATAGTTTTCCCTTTTAAAAGCTTTCGATAACTATTTAAAGGATAAAGTGTAAAGATCAGGAGCTTAATATTGGATCTAGTCATTACGTAAAAAAAACATGTTTACCAGACATATATCTAATTTTATTAGGACATTTAGAAATCAGTATATAGATAATTACGTCCGAAGAGAAAAAAAACAATAATAATTTAGAAAAATTACTAACCAACCTTGTTAAAAGATGCTGTTAAAAAATGTGAAGTAAATCTGAAGGCACAGAATAACTAATTAGCCCATAACAACTAAATAATATTATCTTACAAAATTTTATTCTTCATCGGGCGAATAAGAAACACCGACCTGGGCAGCTCGAAGAACACGGTTTCTAATGTTATATCCGTCTTTCAGGATATTCGCTATGGTACCAGGTGGTGTCTTTTCGGTTGCTGTAACGCGAATCAATGCATCGTGAAAATTGGGATCAAAAAGGGTACCCAAAGATAAGTTCATCCTTTCGACACCGTGTTTGGACATATTCCTATGCAACACTTTCTCAGACAATTTTACTCCTGTGTAAATAGAATGCAACGATTTGTTATCCTTCAGCACTTCCTCGGGTAATGCATCAAAGCTTTCAATACCTTTACCAAGAATATCAGCCACCTCAAGCATATCTTTAGCAAAACTAGTGATACTGTAAAGTTTGGATTTCTCAATGTCATCACGACTAATACGGCGAGCGTTTTCCGCATCCGCTGCACGGTATTGTACCTCATTTTTGAGAGCCTCAATTTGTTCTTTTGCTCCCTCTAGATCTTTCTCAAGTTTTTTTAATGACTCGACAGAAACTTGATCCCCTAGGTTATCAGGTTTTTCTTGATTAGTTTTCTCATTGCTTTCAGACTTTGCATCAGTAGAAGACCAAATGCGGTGTGATGAAATTGTCGATAGGCTCATACGGGTTACGTATGAAGCCACAGGCAATGAAAAGACACGCATGATATGATCAAAATCAGTCAAATGCACCAAAAGAAAGAAAAAAATCTTAAAATAATTTTTTGGATGTAAGGGGAAGAAAGTAAAATGATCGTCATAATTTAAAGCGCAATAAACACAAGAATTATTATGAATCGACTCATTAATAATGTTCTTAGTTATTAGTTTTATTGTTAATAAATTTTTGTTATATGGGTAATAAACAATCCAGCTCTGTTATATCTATGGGGGTCATGGATGACCTGCTTCGTATAAAGCACCAAGCAAATCGAAAATGATGGATTTGATTTTTAGAAACAAAATCCACGTTTCGGACACCAACATCGTTCCTTTTCAAAAAAATTGGAATTGAAGTTAAAAAGGCATAATTTAATGTTAGCAATGAAATTTTATTAAACAAAGGAGTCCGAAGATTTGTTTTTTTGTCGATAATTAAAAGGTTCACCATGGTCCCCAAGCCAATGGTATGCATTAGCTCCTCCTTTTTTGCTAAATCTTCCGATTTTATTCTGTCATGTGAATTGATAAATCTTTCACTATTTACAAGCAGAAGAAATTCACTTGTGTCATTAATGAAATAAATAGTGTGTGATTCGGAATTTCCTGTTAGTATAGATCCACAACATTCAAAAAAATCAGCTATCGGTGTGCATTTGGATCCATTTCCCTTCAATTCGCATAAAAAACCGTTACCAGGCTCCGAGTGGTCAAATACTTTTAGAGTAATAATACCACCGGATTCAGGAGCAAGGTACCATTGAAACTCTATTCTCTGTAGCTCCTTTTGAAATTCAGTCCATGATTTCATAAGCAACGGCTTCCTTAGAAAACCATAGCTGTCCTTGCAAGCTGCTTGTGCACGTAATTCAGAACCTACATCTGGTTCAATTGTAGTTTGCTCCTCACGTGAACTTGACGTCAAGTGCTTTCCAAAGCGAGGCACGTTACTTATCGTTGGAATTCCCTTAGAGGGCCCAACGATTATTTGCCTCTTAAAGCATGGAAAAATTGTCGATTTTCTTAAAAATAGCATAATGATAATTCTTCTAGCAAATCAAGAAAACATAAAAAAAAAATCACAATTAATATACACTAAAGGCAAAATAACCACTCACAGCGCTCCTATAAAAAGCTCATACATATATTTACACAATTATTACCAAACACGCACGCTCAAAAGCCTAAGTTATTAATTGATGAGGGTGATTAAACCACCGATGACGTATTTTGGAAAATGGGCACCTTACTATTGCAGTGGAGGGTGGGGAGGGAGGATAGCGCCCACAAAGCACCATTACTTTATATTTTAAAAAGGGGAAAAATGGCGTCACCTGAACAAAAAGGAGGCGGACCTGATTATATTATATCAATTATTATTCTGAGAGGGGGGGGGGGATTAATATGTATACATACCT